CACGGCCCCCCTCACCTCTGGTGTCCACCATCGGGTACGGGGGTTACTGCCACGACTGGCAACGACCACCCTGCAGCCACAGCTCCGTACGGCCGCTTCCACAATGGAGGCCCGGAACAGTGTCCATTCAGACTCAGTATCCCCAACTATGTAGTTGGAATTCTGCCGGAGGTGCGAGTTAAAGCTCCGGCAAACAGGAGCCTCTGCCAGATGTTCCCAGCAGACCCTCACTATGCTCTTGGGCCTACCAGGTCTGACCGGCTTCCTCCCCCGCCACCTGAGCCAACTCATCACCAGGTGGTGATCAGTTGACAGCTCTGCCCCTCTCTTCACCCGAGTGTCCAAGACAGAAGGCCGCAGATCAGATGATACGATTATGAAATCGATCATCGCCCTGTAGCCCCAGGCATGTTCGTACCATGTCCACTTATGGACGCCCTTATGCTCGAACATGGTGTTCGTTATGGACAAACCATGCATTGCACAGAATTCCAATAAGAGAACACCACTCGGGTTCAGATCAGGGAGTCCGTTCCTCCCAATCACCCCCCTCCAGGCCACACTGTCCTTGCCCACGTGAGCGTTGAAGTCCCCCAGCAGAACGATCAGAGCTAGATAAGATTTTAACAACTCTGAGCTATTACTTAAGTTCTCCCCAAACGAGCTTGATGGGCCAAATGGCCTCCTCTCATTTGTAAATTTCTTATGTTCTAAACCCCTCCACCACGATAAGGTGGCAATCCAAAGAGGAGGTCACAGCTTATCCAAATTCAAAGGTAATCTAACATGAATAGAGGAGATGTATTTTAATCACATTCCATCAGTGACAGCTATGCCACATCAAAATATAAATTGTGTAAACAAGAAATTAGAAGAAGGTCTGCAATTAAAATTGGAGAACGGTGACAATTTATTTGTCGAAGAAGCCTACAAATTAATTCTGTCAAATTTTTTGATGGTTACAACATTCAGAAGTTAATAGGAAGCATAGAGGCGCTTGGCACGCCAACGCCCCCAGGACATAAACAATTTCTTGCACTACTCTGACACAATTTGGTAACTGTAGTGGGTTTGTTTGCTATAATTTTGATGCCAGTTACCTTCCTGAGATTCTTGATAGGGTTCAGATCAGGACTCTGGGTGGGTCATTTCATCACCTACATGTCCTCAGCTTTGTGGAATTGGTTCACCTGTTTTGCAGTGTGGTAAGGGGCATTGTCTTTTTTGCAGTGTGGTAAGGGGCACTGTCTTTTTTGCAGTGTGGTAAGGGGCACTGTCTTTTTTGCAGTGTGGTAAGGGGCACTGTCTTGAATAAAAATGACTGGCTGACTGGGTGATGCTCATAGGGAAGGGACTGCATGTTCCTGAAGGAGATTCTGATGCTCATTAGCATTCACATCGTCATGCAGCATCTTGAGAGGCCTGACTCCTGAGGCAGAGAACACACCCCACACAGTTACACTTACCCGTCTGGCCGTTACTGACTTCTTCACACACTTTTGGTGGCATCTTTCCCCAATTCAGCGCCACACATAATGTTTCCCATTGGAACCAACGAAATTGAACTTGAGCTTTTGTCACCGAAATGAACCTTGGAGCAGTTCTCTGTCCACAAGCTCCTCAGCAGAGATAGTCTAGCCTTTTTATTCTTCTTGTTGATGAGTGGCTTGGTCACTGTGGATGACAAGACCCTGTCAAGACAGGTTCTTGTCTTGCCCAGACCTACACTGCTCAAAAACATTAAGGGAACACTTAATCATCCCAGTGCAACAGCAAGTCAATTAAACTTCTGGGATATTGATCTGTCCAGTTCGTAAGCGTAAGCGATTGTGAATCGGTCTCACCTGCTTTGGTGCAATGAAAGCAATAACAGCTGAACAGGAGGGGCAAGAACCAGACAAACCCCCCCCCCCCCCAAAAAAAAAATTATGGTTTTGCAGGTGGTTTCGACAGACCACTTCTCTCTCCTTATCCTTCCTGATTTTTCTCTAGTTTTGCATTTTGGTGGAGGTATATCTTTGGAGGGTCGCATAGACCTCCACGTACTAGCTAACGGTACCCTGATTGCTGTTAGTTACCAGGATGTAATCCTCAGACCCAGTGTCAGAGCTTACAGTGGTGCAGTGGGCCCTGGGTTCCTCTTGGTGCAGGACAATATCTGGCCTCATGTGGACACCGTGAGTAGGGCATTCTAGGATGACGAAGATATTGACGCCATTGACTGGCCCCCATGTGCCCTAGACCTGAATCCAATCCAGGACCTCTTGGACATGATGCATCCGTGCATCTGATACCACCAAGTAGCTCCACAGACTGTCCAGGAGCTCATTGATGCCCTGATCCAGGTCTGGGAGGAGATTCCCCAGGTCACCCTCCGCCTTCTCATCAGGAGCATACCCAGATGTTGTCAGCAGTGCATACAGGCTTGTGAGGGCCATACACACTACTGAGCCACATAATGAAGTGCCGTGATGTGATTTGGAATCCAGCCCTCAGTGGATTAATGATTTTGATTCCCATTGACCGTTATTACATCATTTTGTTCTCAATGAATTACACAATATATATCAATAAAGATTTTGAACTTGCATGTTTCGTTCTTGGAGGTCAGAAGTGTGATTTAAGTGTTCCTATAATCGGTTTGGGGAGTAGAATTCGGCGAGCAATTCCAGCTGCGGTCTGATCCCCCACCGAGAGTCTCCTCATCAATCATGTCACTCGTGCCCTAGTCATATGTGGGGAACCAGCCTTTTTTACGGACTTGAATGGTTTAGTTTCTTTGTTCAGCTTCAATATTTGAGCAATGAAGCTCTTAAAATGACTGCTGTCTCCTCCAGTGGCTCAGAAAGTCATCCCATCTGCCTTCATCTGAACGTTCTGATGCCACTGGGTCTAACCTTGGAGAGGCCCACCGTCCTGCAAAATGCCTATTAATATAGCCAAATTGACTGGGGTTGCCAGATATTTCAAGATATTTTTCAGATTACATCCAAAAAATGTCCAGTACAGCAAATCGTTCTCTAATTTTGATCGCAGACCTTATTTGACTGTCTCGTTTGAACCTTCAATTTCAATGTGCGATAACTTTCATTGATGAAAAATGATTAAAATATCTCTCGTCTTTTCTTGTTAGAATAACTTATTGAATTCTGATAAGCAACGACTTTGTGAATTACAAAAATGTCATTCATACTCTAATTTTGATCGCCACTGTAGTAAAGTATATATTTTTTTTTTTATTGAATTGCTGTCAGCCTAATGTCTGAAAGGACAGATGACAATTCTTTCATTTAGTAGGACAGGCTTCTTTATCCTGTCCATTGAACAATACGAGTTCCTGTCATCCACCTTGGCTTCCCTGATGAAAGAAAAATTACTGGTTCGCAGAAGCAAAAACTCCAATGACAGTTTTCTCTAAATCACACCCAGTCATTAACAAAAACATAACGGTTGTACTTAGATACAGTATAATATGTGCACATTTATCAATTGCTTTAGTTAAGAAAACCTTCCAATGCGCTACAACTTAGCGTTTGTAATTCAGCAAAGAGCAATGAATGTGTCATGGACTGTGTCATAGCGACATCTAGCGACACTTTGAGGCAAACACAATAAAACGACAGCTAATGGAAAAAAGTTTAAAATCTGTTTATATCTTGATCCTAAAATAATGTCGTAGACAACGCGCGCTTACTTTGGATATATGGATACCCGGATGATAGTTAACTTTAATAATTACAAAATTAAATTAATCGTTGCTGTTCCATAGACTGGATGCAGTTGTGACATATCACCACTAGAGGGCAGGAGCCTATGTAATTTTAATTTCCATCGCAAAACTTTCCCGAATGAGCTCCTTTCGAGTGAATAAGGGAGAGCGCCGTTCGACCATTTGTCAAATGAGGATGCAAATTTTATGCAAAGTTCAAGGTTTGTTAATTACGTGTCTCCTGCAGATAATTACAAGACAATAAGAAGGGCAAGGTAACGAGCTCCGTAACGACATTTAGAGAAAAGTATCGGGATATTAGATTGCATGCAATAAAAATGTAGCTGCTATAATCTACTTGAAGAAGGATGAAACTTCTAAGATTAATACACTGAATAGTCCATGACTCATTTTGTGAAGAAATTAAAAATATGTAACACTATTACCAAGTCTTCCTGGGCCCTTAATCATGATAATTCAGACATTTTTTTTCCAATCAGGGACCATGTCTGCTAATGACCGCAGAGCCGGTGCCGCCGGAGTCCTCGCCCCTGTCTGCCCTTATCGCATAAGCGGAGTCTTCCCACGCATTTTATCGCCGCTCCCTCCAGCTGTCACTCTATCAGGGAAAAGTGTTTACGGCTGCTCTGTCTCTCTCGCTGGCCTCGGTTCACTGGGGGTCCCGATGAGGAATAAGCAAAGGTCTCGGACAGGCCACCGGCGTGCATCCTTCTGCAGGCGGCCATGAAGCTCATTTATGCCCTTCTGCCCGCAGAGTGCGCTTGTCCTGGCGGCTTGAAAGGCTACATTAAAAGGTAAGGGCTTTTCTCATCTTTTTCTGTTCGGTTCCAATCTATAGAAACCTGTCTCGGGTGCAGAATGCAGAAACGAGAATTCGTAACACCTTCACAGAGGAGCACTTCTTTAATGTAAATTGCGCAACATAAACGACACCTAAAAGTTCCGTCTGCCTCTAGAGACCTGTTAATATATGATCAGGTTATACGACTTATCCTGCCAAATGTTAAATTTTACTATTTATTTTTCCCCTATTTTTTTCCCATAAAGTCAAAGTTACAACTTAAATTAGGCCTTAATTACTTAATTAAAAACTATTTTTTTACATGTTTGCAACAATATTTTTACTTATCTTAAGTCTCATAGGTGGGGCAAAAGTTTTAGAATTCCTCACGAAACGGGGAAAATGAGAACGTAATGACCTTTAATTTAAGATCTGCAATAGGTCCCCGCTGTATTTCTGTCTGCTTTTAACCTGAGTAGTTACGCGATATCCATCGTTATTTAGCCCGCGTCAATTTTGAGGCACATCGTCCGTCATGCCGGGGTCCGTGTGTCTCCGGCACCGGCTTGCTGATAATGCCGCTCAGTGTGCCACTTGGGAGCCGAAAATCAGCGCACATTGCTGCTTTCCTAAAGGGGCGCTCTCGGCTTTTGTTCAGATAAATAATTGCGTGCATTGTGAATTTATGGTCAGCATCGTCAGTATGTCAGTGTTTCTGCATCATGTTTGTCTTTCGGCCACAGTCCAGCAGCTTATTATCTTGTCTTATTGCACCTGGCTGAGTTTGCACGGATTATTTATTTATTTATTTATCTGGTTACTTGTTAGGTTTTGCTCTTACCTTCCCAGGAGCTGAATAGCGAAAGGAGCTGTCTTTCCGCCGGCCGTGGGATGAGGGCGGGGGCGCTGTTCCTGTGTGGTCTTATTACTGTGCTGGGTTTGACACAGCCGAGGTCAGCCCTGTGTCAACACATGTCCGAAGAGTCTTGCTCAGTCCAGATCCTCATCCCTGGACTCAAAGGTATGGCTAGGGTTGCAGAGTTCTATGATTTTTGCTGTTAATTCCTGTATATTCCTGTTAATTCCCATGCAAAGTTTTCAACTTGGAATATTTCCAAAATTCCCCAGCCTAACTTCCCATGGAATGGAAAGTTTCAGGAAATTTTCCATCTCTTTGCAAACCTAGGTATGGGTTCACCTGCCTTGGGCTTAACAGTGAGGTGGGAAATGCAATTACTGTACTAGCAAAAGGGGTGCTGTAAAGGGGGAGGGGGGGGGCAATAAAAGAATTTCAGGGACCCCTGAGTGACAGGCGCCCTGAAAAATTCAGAACATAATTGGATTGGTCGAGATTGGGGCCCAACATGATATTCTTTCATGGGCCCTGACATCTCTAGCAGCACCAGCAGTCATGCAAGAAGAATCAGGCAATAACTTGCTACAGTCGACACTGACACCATACTGTACTTGAAAAATGGTCATTGCTGTCACACAACAATGAAATGTGTCCTCTGCATTTAACCCGTATGTGACATAGTAGCAGACAGCTATTATTTAACATCCAGGGAGCAGTGCGTGTGGGCGGTACCTTGCTGGTCAGGGATTTGAACCAACAACTTTTCAGTCGCAGGCGTGTTTCCCTAAGCCTTAGGTCACCACTGCCCCGAGGGCATCGATACATCCAAACCACAGGCTGTGATCTTATTACCTTTTTCTCATTAATAATGATTTTCTTTTATTGATAGGTGAGGTAGGAGACAAAGGAGAGAAAGGTGCACCTGGAAGACCTGGAAGAGTTGGACCTTCTGGAGATACAGGTTGGTGTTCATGCTCCTTATGCATTTAATACCCAGTTCAGGGTGAGAACAAGGCAGGATTCCACCATTAAGCACTGGGAACTCCTGTTCCCTGAGGCTGTAATAGCATGAAAACGTCGCGTGACCAACACTGCTGCACCATCATATTTATAATTATAAATTTTAGCGTAAAATATCATGGTGTAGGATTTATGATTTGGCCCCGGGGGAAACTGTGGGATAAAGCCTTACACTTTCAGATGTTTCGCAAATCATATTTTTGTTTGCCTCTAATGAGTGACATGATGCTTAGGAAGTACAGAGCTGAGGAATGTTTACGCAAGGGGTCAGAGGTCACGAGAGCAGCATTAGCAGAGGCGCAGGGAGCCGTGCTCCCAGGCCGCTAATGATAGCGCACTTCTCTGGTGGCTGCTAATGAGGGGATATCATGGCTGAACTTAACCCCCCCCCCCCCTCCGCTGATAGGAATAAGGCAGATTTTCTTTCTGCATTTCCAGCTGAACTCCAGGCATGAAAACTGATCAGAACACCTCCAGCAGAACGGAAAGAGAATCTGGCATGTTTACGGCATGCAAAGTGGAGGAATGGACAATGAAAACCTTAGATCTGCCACTAAAGCCATATCTATTTTAGCCCCAATTCTCTGCGCTGACCCTGGCGACTCAAATCCGAAACGTCTTTTCTAAAACAATCCAGGCTGATATCGGAGAATCGCTAGCTAGCTCCCAGTAAAGCAACCGACAGTGTGTGTCTGACAGTAGCATTACTTCAAAAACTAATATAAATCTAGTTATAAAAGCCTTTTGCATTTTAATTTAGCTCAGTCTTTGCCATCATTGGCAAGGACAAAACAAAGTAGCCAATTCCAGGTAAATTTACTTATTATTCCAAAAGTTCCTTGCTAATTATGACACCTGCTTCATCCATTTGATGCTGGAAAATCCCCTGACCTCCTTCCTACCGTTTTCTGTAGTTGTATTAAAAGAGCAGCAGGTACGCAAATTAAACAGGGAACAGCACTTGTGGCAAAAGTTATAGCCTCGCGGAAGCAACTTTAAATCGCTTCTGTACAATTTCTATCCGAAATGCTGAGGCAAATATAGCATTTTAATCCTAATGATGATGGTGCTGTGTGGGATGTATCTACAAATCTCCATTTTCCAGGACATCCAGGGCCTAAAGGAGAGAAGGGATTGGTGGGGCGCTATGGAAAGATGGGTCCTGCTGGATCTCAAGGTAGAAACGTTTCTGGATATTAAATAGAGTGATGTGATTAATTGGATTGTGCCTGATATTCAGGATTTGCACTACAAGTCAAAAGTCTTTGCACCAGTGGTTTATTTATAACCACTTTTCCATTTATTCCATAAACTGCAGATTTTTTATTCTTGTTGAGCATTGAGAAGTTGAGTAAACAACTAATAATGAAAATATAAGTTAAAACAAAATTCCTTTATAATATGGAAAGAGTATGTAATAGTCTGACATCCTATTAACTGGTTGTGTGGTGATGACATAGTCAAATTCTAGGCTGTCCTTTAACTTTAAATGCACCAGTTAAGTGTTTCATCCATGGGAGAGAGCAGTATGTAATGTCCCTTGTAGTAAGAATGCCTCAGATTTTCTCTGCTGTTATAACTGCTAGAGGAGGTTACTTAGATGAATCAAAGATACAAAATTTTCTTGCTAGTAAAGGTACTCAAATGGTGAACATACTGTAAATGTATTTTTTGGCAAAGAATATTGAGTATACATGTTAAGTGAGTAACATGCAAATGTAGAAAATCTCAGTGTGTGCAAAAAGTTTTGACTGGTAGTATATGTTGGCTGGACAGGTTTAAAGGGGGATATGGGCGATCCTGGACCCAAAGGACCCGATGGAGAGCCGGGTATGACATACCGCATATAGCCACTACACTTACAGTGTACAGTAGCAAATGATTTTTTTTTTAATCTAATGATGCTAGTTGACTTATGTCGGGAACAAAATACCAGGAACTGTATTATACAATTAAGATATGAAGAAGATATACTTGAACTACGTAATGTGAACTTATGATGTCAGCAGGAGTTCCTTGTGAGTGTACACCACTGAGGAAGATGATTGGGGAAATGGATATCCTCGTGGCACAACTATCAAATGAGCTTAAGTTCATAAAAAGTGGTAAGTTCATAAATATACCGCTAAACTGTCGGCCCATAGCAATGCTAAATCTTCACAGAAGATTAACGCAGCTCAATTCCAGGCACCGTATCCTTAGTTCACACTATTTTATCATTTCAGTATTGTTTATAATGTAGACAATATGTCATTCAGACCTTTAAATGCCACAACTGACAAGAATTTCAGTTTGTAGAATAAGTGTTGTAAGCGGGGCAAGGCTTTATGAAATTTGGACATGAACAGCTACGCTGTCTGACGTCAAAATGTGAAAATGAAGCGCAGAAAGTTCTATGAATCATCAAACACAGTGGAGAGCACAGATATCGAACATTTGATTACCGCACTCTGATGTAACAGGTGTAATCTACATGAACATTTGATAATGAGTCGTAAAGCAGGCTAGCTAGGCTACACTTGCTCATGTTATGTTTCTTCTCTGAACCCCATGTGCCATTTGCCAGGGTCACATGCCTCACACGTCTGACTTTCTTACACCTCCAGTCACAAAAGACCAACAAAAGAAATCATATCCAACCATGAAACCCAAGCTAGCCCCGAATCCCGTAGTGAGATTACCCGTCAGCTGCCAAACTTTTGTTTGCCTTGTATAATTAATGTTTCCAGATTAAAACGGCATGATCACATGACACGTATACAGCCTTGCTTCTTGTTATTCGTTTTCTTTGTTGTTTTTTTTTTTTTTAGCACATTAACCATGTATGTGGCAGAGTGATTATAGAGTCATAGGTGCCCATTTTTCAGCAATACGCTCCCCCGCAGCTGTCGCTGGCGTGAAAGAGACGGATAGCAAGGTGTACCTGCTGGTGAAGGAAGAGAAGCGGTACAGGGAGGCCGAGGATTACTGCCAGGGCAGAGGAGGTCACCTGGTCATGCCCAAGGACGACGCCTCCAACGCTGTGCTAGCTACCTACATCGGCCAGGCCGGCCTCAGCCGGGTTTTCATCGGCATCAACGACCTGCACCGCGAGGGCCAGTTTACGTACGTTGACCGCTCTCCCATGTCCACCTTCAGCAAGTGGAGGGATGGAGAGCCCAACAACGCCTACGAAGACGAGGACTGCGCCGAGATGGTGGCCTCGGGGGGCTGGAATGATGTCGCCTGTCACCTCACAATGTATTTTATCTGCGAGTTTGAGAAAGACAGCATCTGAGGTCCATCACAGTCTCAGACAACATCTACATACTCAGGAGGGCGGGGCCAGTCATTATGATTAGCATTACAGGAATATTTCAACCAATCATTGAGAATCTCTGATGCCAAATATAGAATTATCATTGTTAAAAACTGTACTTGCATTAATATGTTAAACATGAGTTTATTCATGCTAAAGCCATTTATCTGTGGAATTCATAATCTTTGACTAATCTATTTATTACCGCACTAATATATAAGTTGTAAGGATGCTCTGTGAAAGCACAAATAAATCTTTTACAGCCAAAAGTTACACCTACTGGAGTTATTACATTTTTGGAAGACTGTGTTTAGTTAATTTCTTTGTTTCCCTGAAAAGCCCAATGTATTGTCAGCATTCATGACAGCACAATGAAACCTTTCAGCCCTTCATGCTCTGGATTGAGTTAATTCAGTTGAACTGTCTATTTGGAGTAAATACACACAATAAAAATATATTTTGTAATAAATAATGAAAAGATTTCTCTTGTCTGCATTCTTATTTGTTACTTGGGGAAAAAGCTGTAATTATATTGAATTTCCCCCTGCACCAAACTTGATTTGAATGATCTTCAATGTCCACACAGTAATTCCGCATCATTCGGTCCAGCATACATCCTGATTTGGGTCACCGGGACCTTTGGTCTGTAGTATTATAATTTATAGGCAATAAATTTCTAGGTCAACTTTTGGATTTATCCAAAGCAATGAAAACAGTTAAAAATATCTTTGTTGCAAAAATAGTACAACATCTCAGACTTCATACAATTTATTTGAATAATTTGTAAAGAATGGGGCATTGTACACATACAATCCTCAGCCACAGGTCTAAACAAACCGAAACCTAACTATCAGAACTGTAGTTCTTAAGACTTTACATCAATTTATTTGATGCTTTCTTGAATGCAAGAAAACATCTGCAGGTGTTTCCTAAGAGATAGCGTAACCTCCAGAGGTCACCTGGGGGGAGGTGCCGTGGACGGATCGGGGGTGAGTTTCCTGAAACATTCTTAATGCAACGTCGTTAGTAAGTTCTATGTTAAAAGATGGAACTTACGAATGACGTAGCGTTAAGGAGGCTTCGGGAAAGTCACCCTGGCTCAGCAGACAGGGAAAGGGTAACTCTTCATAGGTACTGCATGAAGCCAATATAAGCCAATCTTATTCCTCGTAGCAGGCAGCTACACTGCTGAGATTGCTGAGTTAGTTGAATAATATAAACATGTATATTTCGCTTTTCCATTCCCTAAGTTTCAGGGTCTGACGCTGATTCTTGATGAGACTGAAATACTGGCATTTTAACATCTGTTTATATTCATTATAGGAACAGTATCTTGTTTACATAGCCTATTTCCTATGCAAACTACATGCTTAGCTCTCCGGCCATACCGAGCGCTCCCTGCATTTGACTAAATTCTTTCTATTTAATACCTCAACTAGGCCAACATTTTAATTTTGGAATAAATACTTTTATATCGCAACAATGTAGTAGATGAAATGATACGGATAAGTATTATTATCTATTTGTATGTAAGAAAATGAGTTAGGTGTGTAACACAATTGAATATGTAATAACGGGATGAATTATAGGCTACTGACAGGGAATTGATTGTTAGGAAACACAATGAGCTCCATTGTAACGAGGGGGTTTCCGGTTACTGCTCTCTTAAACAAATAATACTAATTATGGTTTCAAGGCTACAAATAAGGGCGTGAATTGGACGGAGTTATCAGTTTGCTTGAGTATTTTTAGAAAATAGCCGAGTTCAAAGCAACTTGTTTGTTTCTTTTTATGCAGTGTTTTATTTTCCTAGAAGACTAGAGAAGTTTGCTTTAAGTATAGGCACATTTCATGTTAAGCAAATATAGTCTGTAGCTACTCAACGTTGTGACGCTAGTGTCTAAATTAATGTATAAATGTAATATTAACGTAATATGCAATGTATGCACGATTCAGAGGAATTTGGGATTAATGTACAGAAATCTGGACTGACTTAATGCATGCATTTTCTTAATCCTTCTGTCACGGTTATCAATTAAATTAAATTATTATTAATGATAATAAAAATCACTGTCTTCGGTAGCCAGGGAAACAGACCAAATAGCGCGAGTGAAAACCTCAATCGAATAAGAAATATTGGTCTCCCTAGGGTAAAAGAAAAAACAAGGACACTTGATAAGACGCTGCACGCTTGAGGGAGCGCCGCCGCCTTGATCGGATACCTCCGTGTCTCACCTTACCTGTAGCTATTTTAATAACTTTTGCCACCTGACCTGGGCGCTTGCACGAAGTGGCTGCTGCCTAAGACTTAAATTAACGGGGTTATGTCTGGGACCTCAGGTAGGTCATCCCTTGCGCAGCCTCCGCCCGCAAAAACCGTCCTTGTGTACCGCAATGGGGACCCATTCTTTCCTGGGAGGAAGATCGTGGTAAGCCAGCGTCGCACCTCGACATTTGACGGCTTTTTGAGCTCGGTGACTCGCGGGATGGAGGCTCCTTTCGGGGCGGTGAGAAACGTTTACACTCCGCGGGAAGGACACAAAATCGTTGCTTTGGAGCAACTGCAACACGGGGAAGGATATGTTGCAGCCGGGGCAGAGCGCTTCAAAAAGCTGGAGTATGTGTCTATGTGACTACAAATGCGATTGTCATTTATCTCTGTCATGCTATAATGCTAGAAGATCTCTGACCTCAGATCTAGGATCTAACTCATCAGTCTGACACAATGTTCTCCTTCTTTTAGTTACTGTCAAATAACGCCCAAAAAACCACAGAGAAAGAAGAACGAAATGGTAAGATAGTGTGTTAAATAACCGAGAAAGTAAGGATTTCCATTCTGGCATGAGGTTGTGCGGGAAATAGACTTGCTGGAAGTTAAGGGCCTGTCACAAATTATTGACATTACCGCGGAGCGGACCGGCCGCTGCTGCGGTCACGTCGGATCCAGTAAACGAGCAAGAGCGTGATCCGTATGATCTAAACCGTCTATAACTCTATAATTTTAATTTGCGAAAGGTTTTCTCGGGGAAACTCCGGGAATGGTTTGTTTTATAATGGAAACCAACCCAATGTCATTCTCTATTACCTGCAATGTACATAAAATCAGAGTTCAAGGCTATTCTGATTGCTTCTCTTCCTTCTGATTTTGTGCTTAATTTGTGGTGAAGGGCCAGGCTTTTGAACTGCAAGTGTGTTAATAAACGACTGAATCAAACAAGGGCAAAGAGCTGGCCTTAAGTTAACCCCATGCGCGGCCCCTTAGAATGCAGTCACGACTGCCGCTATGGATGACGGGTAACCAGCCTACTGAAAGACATTTCGGGAATCCATTTTCAGATTTAGCTTTCTAAACAAATTGGATTTCCATGAAATAACTGAAGGCAAATTGTAAAATGAAAAGACCCCACTTATTTTTTTTTTTTTGAAAAAAAAAAAAATCAGTTATTACCAGTTTGGCTTCTTTGCAAAGCTTTTGTCCCGTTTCCTTACAGATACGACCCGTTGTTCACAGCAAAATAGCGGTTTCTGCGCGTTGGAAAAAAAGCGCCAATGAGCCATGCACTATAAAGTGAGTGTCTACCCTCTATTTTCACTGCGGATTAAAACATATCGTTTCCCCTTTACATACCGCAATGTGTTTAAGGAGAAAGTTTAAAAGTCTCATATTTATTGACAACTGGGCCACATTCCTAAGTACCATCCATTGTGTTTTGTAGTGTTTTTACCAACGGAAATATCTTGGTTCCTCCAGTTAGGATACTAATACCAAAGTACACTCTTAGAAGCTGGGAGAATGTACTCGCTATGGTAACGGAGAAAGTGCATCTTCGCACAGGAGCCGTTCACAGGTGGGTGTTGGAAGAAACTGTTACAGTCCTGGGGTGAGTTTCCCGAAGCGTTCTTAACGCTACGTCGTTCTTAAGTTCTGTGTTAAAAGATAGAACTAACGAACGCCGTAGCGTTAAGAAGGCTTCGGGAAACTCACCCCTGATTTGTAGGCTGCATCGCCCTTATCTTCTGAGACTGCAGGCGGTGCTGGAACGTTTATTTTATTCTACAAACAGGTGCTGTCCTCTACACAAGGGGCAATATATTTATTTAAAACCCATGATTTGCGAGTCGTTATAGTTCACTGCATGACGACAGAAACAAGCTTTTTGAATGTCTGATGAATTCCATTAATGTTGAATTTCAAGGATGCATTTATACCCTTTCATAAAAATGTGTACTTTAGCTTGTGACTGGGGCTGTACACTTGTAATTGTACCTTTTAAGGTACAGAAATTGACTCTGAGGGACATCCCCAAGGTACAAACAGCATTAATGTACCATCGATGGTATAGTAATGTTGAGTCCATTTTTGTACCTTAAAATAAGGTAAAGCTAAACCTTTGTTTCTAATAGTGATGGGTAACTACCTGTTTATAGAGAAAGAACCTCTCTGTGTTCTTTTGTCCTGCAGAATTTGCACGTTGAATGGGACTCCGTTACTGGGTTCAGTCGAATTAGAGAATGACCAGTATTACGTTGCCGTGGGTGCAGAGAAATTCCGATTCCTGCCGTACTTTCACTGGATTACTAAGAAAGGGAGGAGCCTGGACAAGAGTCAAAGGTCAGCAACGCTGGGATCAGTTTAGCAAGAATGCATTTAAGTGGCAGAAATGCCCGTGCTCTCAATAGACTATTTAAAGGTTTAATAATCAGATTAGATCATGTATTACATGTACTTTGGCAGTGTGTATTATTTTCCTTGTACATTTATTTTGTTGCATGTCTGTGTTTTCTTCATGTGATTCATAATGGAAAAAATGTTTTTTTCAATTTAGGGTCTTCGATGACTGTCATCCATCAACAAGAAAATATAAAAATGCAGAAGCTATGGTAGGTATTCATGCCTGTGAATGACTGAGGTGTAACGTCTGACTGGCACTGTTAACCACAAGGCTGATCATTTCTTAAATCATATCAGGTTTTCTAATTAGTTATTTAATATTGTAAAACAGAGTTTCCTTTCAAAGTGCACAGCAGAGACTGTGAGTACTACACTGACTCTTTTCATTCAGCCAGCGCCGCTGCCCCTGAATGCCTAGCCAAGATTCAATTACCAATACAAACATAAAAAAAAAATGTGATTCTAAAGTAAAAACTGCGTGTTTGACAGCCTGACCTGTGATTCCTTTTGGAATAAGTTACATTCTTCGGTCAGTCCGCGTTGCCTGTTATCTGTGAGGAGAACGATTAGGTGATGTTTATATAAAAACGATTTAAGCATGATTTTTTTTTCCCCGTCTGTTTTTCGTCTCCTTTAGACAGTTCGCTGAAACATTCCTTCCCAAAAGGATACTGCCTTTGAATGTTGCCTGCTGATTCAGACATTCAAAATATACTGTATACATACATAACGTATTCTATGTTTTTCACACCATTTTTTAATAGCAGTGATCAGTTACAAAGAATGATCATCCGTGCTTCTATATTGCAATTAAAAGTGCAATTGGCATGATCCAGGCAATCTGAGTTCTTGCATGAGACGTAAGCGACATCAATCACTGTCCGTGGGAGGTTCAGCGTTACCCCGTCTAACACTATGATAAGCACACCCCCCCCCCAGTACGACGTGGCCGTGCCGCATGATCAAGTGCGTCTACTCCTTGGGAGCGAGCGGACTCACCGGGGGAGGGGATGGGGAGAGGGGGGAAGGGCGAAGGGGATGAGCGTAAACAAAAATCGCTCTTTCTGCCAGCACGGAGCATTTCGGATTGTGATTAAATATGTGGCGCTCAAGTGTGTTCGCTAGGCATTCAGAAATGGCAGGTATACGGAGAAAGGCGCAGCTTGAGCGCCGACAGGGGAGAAACACGCACACTCAGCACTTCTGACTGGGACAGCATCACAAAGATATATCTGATGTCTGTTTATTATAACCATGAAAAATCATTGTTCACCCTCAACCGGTGAAGGTTGTTTTCTTTGTTTTGCCGCCTTGTCACAAACGTATAAGGATTTATATGAAGGAGTGCGATTTTCCACTCAGAAACAACAAGAGGTAGTTCAGTAAGAAAGCTGATTTATTTGTGTGTGTTGATTTTGTGCTTCATGTATGTTAAATCAAAATGAAACCGTGGCGGTTTAGTACACTGAATGGCGAATACGGGATTATGGTATTACTTCGAATCTTATGACCTGGTTTTAATGCAGTCATTCATTTAGGTGAATCAGCATATTACATATATGACTTGGTATATTTGCGGTATGTTTTTTTTAATTTGACTTTTTCATTTTAACATAGCTTTTTCAAGCATATAGTTATAACTTATGTTATTGACTGTATGGTGTGCATCTGCAGAAAGGCAGTCCTGCATAAAGAGTCGTTTCTCCAATATTCACCACTAGGGGGAGACAGTGACTAAGTAATTCATATGCGCTTTCCTCTTGGAGCGCTGTTCAACGCACTGTGGAAAAACATGACCTCATACATGCTATATAGCTGTTCGCTCCATCACACAATGATTCATTTTGATTTTTCTTCTTGCTTTCGCTTTTTTTCTCCCCTCCAAACACAATCTGACCCTTGCTTCTCACATGGGCACTTTCCCTCCGATAACGGAAGCCTCAGAATTTTTACACCTTTTCCACTCAATTCTTTTATTTATCGTCTGTTTATTTATGGAGGCCCTGTGAATTTTACAAATCCCCGTTCTTCCTGCTACAGTTTGCCACACTGTGGAAACTATAACTCACACCGCAGCGTGAAGGCATTTATTCACGGCCGCTTTCTCGTTGCGTTTTATCCCGAGCTGTTTTCTTAGTTTTTATTGTGCATGAGTCAGAAATTACGTGTGGGGGGCGCTGGCCGACCTGATCACCGACACACACAGCCACAGTATAGACACCGAATCGGGCGAACGCCGCGCTTTTTTTAATTTACTCACGTCCCCCCCCGCACTCTTCGCCCAGCATCTCGGTGACGTGGGCGCAGTTTCAGTCGCAGCGACCCTAGACGAATTGGCAGACCGGACAATGTGCCCCCACGAAGCCCCCGCTTGTTGTCCGGCACGGACCCCGGTGAGACGTGACCCCCCCCCCCCCCCCCCCCCCCCCCCCCCCCCCCCCCCCCCCCCCCCTCATCGGTAACGCGCTCCCAGCACAGCGGGCCGTTTGAAATAGATACCTCCTCAGCTCACTATCATATCAGAGTTAGGGCGTGTGGGGAAACGGATTATTATTGCATTTCACACACTGATTACTCCTCAGTCTCAGCTTAGATTGATTCAATAAAAAATGCAAGGAACTATTCATGTTTTTTTTTAACAACTCTTGTACTTAATTCTGTGTTGTTGCCTTTTTACAGCTTTCATTTTACATAAAAAGTGTTCCGAAGACCCAGCACACACATACACGCACACACACGCGCACACACACATACACACACACACACACAGGTTTGTAATTATATCTTTGTGGGGACTCTCCATTCACTTCCATGGGGAAAACTCTAATCCCAATATGACGACCTTAACCCCTATCCAGCCTTAACCTTAATCATAAGTAACCAAACAAAATACAAGTCTTTTGGCATTTTTACTTTTTTGATTGGATTCACAGATCTTTGTGGGGACCTGAAAAATGGCCTCCACAACGTCAAATAACATGTTTTCATCATATTGTGGGGTACATTTGGTCCCCACAATGTAATATAAACCTAATCCACTCACACCCACACACAGATCAGTCAGACGTATTACATAACAAAGCACCATCATAAATACATTTCTGTCATAATCTTTGCTCGGCTCTTTTTTATCAGCCCTGCAAATCTTGGAACTTTTGTTCCCCGTTTCTCCAGTCCACTCTTGGTTTGATAGTCACCAGTTTGCCAAACAGGGCTTGCGTTCAAGTTAAGTTTAAACGTTTTGTTCTTCCACAAACCCAGTGCTGTTAAACCAGCAGCTGCCCCTAGTGTGTGCTTGTGGATAGGCAGAGATTTGTTAACTACTGCTAAGTGGGCTTCCCTTTCAAGTTAACCAAATACAGAAGATAAAAATGGAATTCAATTATTAAATTTAAAGTATAAACTGTGTGCCCTCCTCAGTCTATGACATGGTGAACCAGTAACACTGATTAGCACTGCTGACAGTAGGGTTTGGGTTTGAATCCCACCCTCAGCTCTGTTCATGTATGGAGTTTGCATGTTCTCCTGAGATACTCTACTTATGAACATGGATGGATTTTCCTTCATCCTCAGAAGAGACACATATCACCTAGATACCTACCACAAACGTGTAGGCGCCGTGAAGAGAGAATTGGCTCATTCAGGGGCATTAATTCAGATGTGTAAGCCACCGTGGGTAAAGCAGTTCGAGGTCATTTCCTACCTGCTGCTTTCTTTGACTTCCTCTATCTAGTCACCAAGACCTTTCCATCAATACCAGTCGCCGTCTGCCTCAGAATAAGTTATTCCCACGGAACACTTTTCTCTTCCGCTCCTTTTAGCTTGTTTGGATTTTCATTGTTTGAACTTGATAAATAAGACAAATGCAATTGGAAATTCATGGCTGGCCTGTTTCATCAATAAATGATTAGTTTGCAGTGCTCTCCGGTGATTGATAGGCTGTTCATGGGGTTGTATTGGAACCAGATGAATTCAATACCACGAGAGTCATCGGGGAACTACAAAGTATATGCTCATGAAAAATTGAGGTCAATGTAGAATGAAGAAAAAAAATAGGAAAGGAAAAACAAGTTTGTATCATATGAGCCAAGCAAGAAAGAATCCCCAGAAACGTTTCCGTGGTGATGGAACTACAAAAGTATACATCCACTGATTCAAAGCCTAAATGTGTGTTACTGTTATCTGTGTAGCTTAATGGTGGAAGGGGTCCGTCTCCGGAAGGAGGTCAGGAGCACGGGGTGCCGCTGAAAAACCACTGGGGCTCCTTATTCTACACCAGGCCGGAGCGAACGACACAGCAGATCGCTAAGGGCCCACATCTCCTCTCGACGGGAGGTGGGTACAGTACCTCCTCCTCCTGACCTCCCGTCGCTTAATGTATGGGTGTAAACCTCCACCACATGCTGGCTCTCCTGATATAAATTGGATGCGCCGTGGTTGTCGGAGGCCGGTGTGTGTGTGTACGGGTGTTTCTTTGTACGTGCAGGTTTCTCGGGCTGGCGGAGAAGGTCGATTGTGATCCTTGGAAGTATTCTCCCGAGGACAGCAAGAATTCGGAAAATCCTCGAGTTGGAATCTACACACTTAGGAATGAAATGCTTTATTTCCCATTTGCATAAGTACAGGTACATTGTAATGCGTGTTTCCACACATCCCATCAGGTCAGGCCATTTAATCCGACACCCCTGGGGGGGTTTCAGGGGTAAGGGCTTTGCCCGGGGGCCCAACAGAGATGGGGCTATGCTGCCAAGGACAAGATTCAAGCTGGTGCCCTTCTGTTCGCAGGCACAGAGGCGTAACCCGCTGAGCCTCAGACCCAAAAACATTGGATGCAGCTCCCTTACTCGATTAATTCTTCCAATCAGGAATCGCTGCAAGTGAAGAAAATGCAACCTTTGAACATAGAAATACAGGTTTGCCTTTTTACACATCGACAATGTATTCTTGGTTTTATTAACTGCCCAGCAGACAATCACACGTCACAGTGTTTCTCAGTCCGGTCCTCGGGGAACCCCAGCCGGTCCACATTTCTCCCTCCCGGCTACCAACAGGCCTGTATGATGTATTCGGTGTTCTGCACTGTTTGGGTCGTTCTTGATTGTTTGGTTCAGGTGTGTTGGGAGCAGGGAGGGGGAGTTAAAATGTGGACTTTCTAGGGGTCCCTGGGTACTGGGTTGAGAAATACTGGTGTATGAGGTCTCTGAAGAATCTCTCCCACTAGCGGACCCGAAAATCGGGGCCCTTAACGCGGCATGAGGCCACATCCCTGGCCGCTACTTGGACACGCCGTTGTCAGTAATGGTAAAAACAGTGATCCAGCAGGCCGTCTCTTTTAAGTAGCCCAGCCATCCACAGCAGGACAGTCTGGAGAGGCACGATGCCAGGCCCCGCTGTGGAGCGCCCCCGACGACAGATGTTTCCGGAACCTCGCCTTAGCCGATAAAGTTTATAAGCCGAGCAGAGCACAGCTTGCTCATTAAGTCTGATTTAGTAGCGCTTCACTGCTAAAGTATCATATATTCTCCTGTTCCTGGTTATTGCTCGGTTAGACAGAGCATTCGTAGTAGTTATAAGTGTTGGGGCACCTTGCGATATTTTACACCGACCTGGTAGGTTGATGGCTTAGGTGGTGGAAGGCAGAGTAAGGAAATAAAGAATATGGAATAAACTAAACATATTATTTCATATATTATTTACCCCTATTAATTGCAACAGTTTTTAACAGATATAGCTGAACTTACCGTATTTTTCCATGACAGTTTGAGGTCAATCCATTTAGTATTAATAATAAGCTAGATTTGATTGTTTCATTTATTTGCAGATTTTTTTTTTATTGTGAGCTAGCTGGGTGTATTAAAGTTCTCTCAGGCTTTTATGTCAACTGTTTGGTTAATCAAGCAATAAAAGTGGACCTTGTGCTTTAGGGTTTTTCAAAAGGCTATTATGCATTAATGCGTTAATTCGAGTTCAATAACAAAACTTTGTTTCGTCTGCAGTGAGGACTTACGTTTGTTTTTCAGCTGCCTTGAAATGTTTTGTCTGGATGCGCATGTTGTATAAATGAATTGACTGAAGAGACTATTGATTACCCTGAGCACAATTTGGCTTGTTCGGTGACTGGCAGCAGTCAGAGTAAATAGTGATTTATTTCTTTCTTTAGACTGGGGTGTCTTCAAGGCAAAAGGCGTACGGAATGAAGTGGCAGGAGCGACCGTGGTGCACGAGGATGGCAGGACGATGGCGGAGCTGCCCCTGGATCAGGTAGAGGTCACCCGTCCGTGCGGCTCAGGTGACACTGCAGATATTTCACGCAGTTACTATTAACATGGCAAGAATTTTGAACTCCCTCGGCAATTCTATGAAAATTAATTTAATACGGGACGGGGTATTTTTTTTTTAAAAAAAAGAAGAAGAAGAAGAATTTGGGATATTGAAAATCTGATCCCAGTTTGGTTGTCTAATTTCTTGCTTATAAGAAATTGACTTACTGGGAAATTTTATGACCACAAGTCCTTATCTGAAATGGTGCTTTATTTGCCATCTGCACAAGTACGAGCACATTGGAATGTGTCTCATTTCATATCCCATCATGCTCTCCTTTGAGATGCACACACACAAACACCCCTGGTGCACTTTTCAGGTGGTTATGATCCTCAGTCAAGGGCCCGATGTCGATTTTGCCAAGTGTGGATCTCAAACCGACGACCTTCCGCTCTCCGGCAGAGACCTGACTGGCTGACCCCACATCAGCCACGCCGCACCCTGCCTAAGGACCAAACACAGCATTGCTGCTCCCTCTCTGCTTACATTTATTGAGTAATTGCTGCAAATCTCCACAGACCAAAGCGGAGGTGGTTGATGAAGTGCAGGATCGGCATGGGACCTCCTGGCCAGGAAGCGATGCTCTGATACAGCCAGAAGCTCCCAGCGCTCAGAGAGCCGTGTCAGAGGGCTCCAGAACGGTTAGTCTGAGTACCATGGCGGTGCAGTTCTGGATTGGCACCGCCACACTATTAACCAGTGTGGTCCTTGGTGGCAGGCTTCAGCCAACACCGCGACAGGGGAATCACAGAGACCCTCAGCCGGTTTCAGAATCAAACCAACACCCGCTTCAGAACCGGAGACGTAGAACCGGAGACAGCTTACCGATCACACTAATCATTCTTTTCTTCTAATTAACTTAACTCAGTGTTTCCCAACTCAGTCCTTGGGGACCCCAAGCCAGTCCACGTTTTTGTTCCCTCCCAGCTCCCAACACAGCTGCATCAGGCATTCGCTGTTCTCAATTGGTTGGTTTGTTAATCATTGTTTGGTTCAGGCACACTGGGAGCACACTGGGTGCTTTAACTAATACTGCTTTAAAAACATCGATTGTAAATGTGGAGAAGGGGTGCAAACAGACTGTATTTTAGTTCTCGACCCCTGGTAACCAGTCCACAAGAAAATCCATTGTTGAAATCACCCAGACCTTACGATGAAACATAAACGGTTTACGATACGCAGAGTTAATCGTGCACTGTTTACGTTTGCTGCACCAATAGCAGTGACATAATGAGGTCCTGACCATGAAACGGGGGGGGGTTCTCCACAGCACTTTTGACCACAGGTCAGACACACACTTTCATAGCGTTTAGTAATTAGTTTTCATTTTTATATTCATGAAAGGGCCATTTTCCCATAATGCTAATTCTTTTTAATGGATCATATGAGCATAACAGAAGGTGTGATCGCAAATAATAACCATGTATATTACAATATCATGCAGTTTCATTCCCTTTTAAAACACCAAGACTTATTTTAGTAATCACCAACTGACCATTCTGCTTAATGAAATCTATAATTCCAGGCCAAAGCAATTACAATGAAGGAACTTCACCATGAGGATTATGAGAATGCTGTGCCTTGCACTTTTGCAATTAAGATACTGTTGTCAAAAAATATTGATTTCTGGAGGCAGTTATGACCTTCTTATAGGCCATATAAATAATACTATTAATTATAGCATTTCGTCAAATTGAGACATTGCTGGGTTAGAAACGTAATAGTCACTGGGAATGGCAGGGATATAATAGAAAGTATTGAATCATACTTCCTATCCCAAACTGGACTAATTAATGGAATAATCTTCAGTGAGAAGATTGAATGCCTCCTGCAGACCTTTGTTTGGAAAAATTTTTGAATAACAGTCAATGTCCAGCAAAGCATTTCTGCAGTTGGTAGAGGATTATAATATAATTCTCAATTAATAGAAATATGATATCATTGTAATATAAAGTCATTATGGGAGAGAGTAATCGGTGAAGGAAAAATACTGTGGGTGGGTGGGGTTTTTTCCTACAGTAATTGACAAAGTAAGTTGTTATGTTCACTTTGAAAAGGAAATTGTAGCTGTATTTTATTATGTGAGCCTAACTTCCCCGTAAAACATTGTTAAATTGCACCAGTCACTCACAGTGCAGCATGCTAATGTGAGAAAACCATGGATATTCATGCGGCATATTTTTTGTGGTAGAAATTTACGTTTACGTTTATTTCTTTGCGTTCCTTTGTCCAAACATAGATGCATTGCACATAATCTAATGTAAGCGTCGCAGTTAAATTATGACTCAGGTCAATTTAATGATTACATAATTTTGTTTTTTTTTATGATCTATTGTGGCACATTATTTACTCTAGCAATTAAATGAGAATAAATCTTTGTTGAGGGCGTTATGTTGATGCTAGTGCCGTGTTATACCGTGTTATACCGAGTTATCGTAATGATCTGTTGTTATCTTGACTGCGCCACTGTGTCAAACCTACACAGTAAGACGTATGCCTGCTCTCAAGAGCCAGACCAGTCGTCTGTATCAGCGCCAATCATCTTTGCTTAGTCTAACTGTTTATTATAATGTAATCATATTGACAGCACAGCCAGTAATTTGGCTAAGCAGTTTTTCCTCATTTAATAGCTACATTAGTCAATATTAAACAAGACTTTGCCTTTTCCATCCTTTTTTGTGGAATTTCATCATAAATATCAAATGTGAATTGATTTTTCCCATTGATTTCTATATTACTTGAAGTTCATCCAACCCCCCCCCATACTTTTCAGTCTTATGAGAATTTCCTACCTACCTTCCTTTTGATGTTTTTTTTAAATATACTTCAAGGTAGGTGATCATTAACTCCTTGATGCTACTTGTGATGCTACTTACTGCTGTAAAGGTTCATGCACGGACTAAGGGTGTTACTGACGAGTAGGATTCGCTTAACGACTATGTTACTGACGAGTAGGATTCGCTTAACGACTACATTACTGAGGAGTAGGATTTGCTTAATGACTAAGTTACTGACGAGTAGGATTCGCTTAACAACTACGTTACTGAGGAGTAGGACTTGCTTAATGACTATGCACTATGTCTAACGAGCAGCGATAAAAACAAGCTCTTGGTTATGCACTGCCGAGCAATTGAATAACTTTTAAAAACAACTTTTAACTGAGTATAAGCTTCCAGTTTGTCAGCTTAATATTTGACTTTGAATCAATTTGCTTAATATGGCAATAAAATATAGTCACAATCATACACAAATATTGCATAAAGTAAGATAACAAATTAGAAAGAAAACATTAACACTGAAGGAGAACAGAGTAGCTTTGATTTTGCGAGTGTGCATGTTACACCACTGCGGATGTCCTGATGAGGTAACAATAGAATATATACAGTTTAGTTAACTTTTACTATAACTCCTTGCTGGGGGGCCGCTAGAGATTTTAGGCCCCATGAAAACATGTGATATTGGACCCCAAACCTAGACCGATCCAATTATGCTCCACATTTTTAAGGGGCCCCTGACTGACATGGGCCCTTGGAATCATCTTAACTCCCTGCCCCCCCCCCCTTATGGTGCCCCTGACTCCTTGACTAGTTTAACTAGTCACCCTCCAAACTCAGTTATGGAGTTTATGATCTGGTACGGATTTGATCACTACTGTATATCTTAAAGTTCTGGGTATATAACATTTAGTCTGTGTTTTTGTCCAGTGCCTGGTTCAATGGTGCAGTACAGAGTACAGAGTCTCTCCTGGGGAATGAATGCACAAGCTTAATACCCTTAACAACTACGCCCCCCGCTGTTAGGGGCTTTATACTGTTTTTTTGTTTTGTTGTGTTACTTACTGAATATCAAATTTGGTTTGTGAGGCTGTTATTTCTCAGCGTGGATAGAAGTTGGGCAGTATTGACAGTGGAGAAAAATGGACCACATTTTGTGGAAGTCTATAAATGCACATTTTTTTTATTGTTTATTGTATTGCACTTTTTCTCGCATATACCTTTGGTAACATAATGTATTTTGCACAATATAAAATGTAAAATATGGTCAGTCTTTAGGACCATGACAGAATCAGCATCATTTCTGAATGAATCCAGATCTTATAATATCACCTACTGTGAAACAACGTGAGCTGCAGACCATGGTAGACAAGGACATTTTTCACACTCAAAAATAGTCAGAGAAACTACACATCTCCTGTAACAATATTAAAGTGTACGGCATAAACATATAAAGGAAACCCTGTTTGCTAACCTTCTATCCTGCCTGTGAGAATTGCATGCAGTGTGGAGTTGGCCATCTGTTGCCAGTGTTGTTCAGCTCCATCGCTTGCGGTGGGACCTCAGTTTGGCCCAGAACCACATGTCTGGCTCCATTTAAATAAAGCCAACATAAGAATGTCAAGCTTAACGGGCAGCCTCAATGGTTCACGGAATGTTCTGCCCCTTCCGTAAGGCCGACCAGCTAGAATACCAAGAACCAGCTCAGGTACAATCACAGCTTCAGTCTCCCATCATCAGTCACCAACAAGCATGTGATTTGTTCTACAACAGCTTAATGGCTCTACATTACCATTTACTTGATCCAGTTTTATTTCATAACAATATAATGAAGTCATTATGTATTCCAACACGTTTTGGGACGTTCATCTCATCCATTCTATTTGTACATTGAATGGCACTCTCCCTACAAACAGTACAAATTAATCTTAGCCATCTTCATTCTTAGAGAGCTCTGGAAGCTTCTCTGTCACCCTTTTAGAATAATGTGTCAGTGTGGATCGTTATATCAGTGTAATTATGAGTACAGTAAAAGAGTTTTGGATATCATGTAGGTATGTATTTCATGTGTGGTGGGAAAAGCTGTATTAACTCTGACGCTCGCTTGAAGATGATCCAAACACCAGTTATTTATAACAAACCTGTTCTGAGTGGCGATTCCGCCCCCATCTGTCGGGAAAACACAAAACATTCATCAAGGAAAACTCGTCAGCGCGACGCGCACATAAAGTGGTGGCAGGTTTTGATTATGCCGCCGCCTGTCACGCACTTTCGCGGGACGCAGGACGATGTGCGCTTCTTGGCCGAGGTTCTCCTTCAGAAGTTATTGGCGGCGTGAACAATGGCCGCCTAATTTATGAGCACCGTTAGGGTCTGCTGATATTGGTAGTAAAATACCGCAATTGACTGCAGATAAAAGATGTCTCCAGTCGCCATATATTTCCCCCTGCATGCATATCTTCTGCCCTCGTGCAGCTTCATGCATTACAGTTAAATTATTCCAAGAGCCTAAATGAATGTGCCGTACATCAAATTCACTACCAGGAATGATTATTCCTGAATGATGACCTTTACGTCGATTTTTGTTTTACTTGTATACATCATGGTTGCGACATTGATGAATACGGCGTATTAGACAGATACAAAAGAGACTGCATCAAAGGCTACACAATGTTTTTTTGCCATACAGACAAATGGCTACCAGAGCCTGTTCAATGCCTTGATTTTAATATTTGTTGACATGCTTCTCTCTTCATCATAATTTAAGAGCTGCTGTCTTTAAGTCCTGCAGATTTTGCATGTCAAAGTGACAAAAATGTTACACGTCGTTATAAAATGTGATATTAACTCACCTTGTTGGTGTAATTCTTCATATCTATCCTTCCTCCTAATGGATTATTATTATGTTATTATGAAACTATTATACGCCTGAAGATCATGACCTTGGGGTGCTGGAGAGGTGTTTGTGCTTCAGTGATCCACGAAGCTATGTTGTCTGGAGTGTGAGATCCTGGCAGGACCTTGGTGAGAATGGCACGTACCACTAGTTGGGGGTTGCGGGGACAGACCCAAGGCCTGCTGGAGGAGTCTCTTATTCCAGCTGGCTTAGGGGCATTAGAGGAAGTTCCAGAATGACCTGGGGCCTCTGGCCTTCGAAAGGGAGGCTTGATCCATCCTGCTTGGCTCCCTGCCGCTGTTATACTCATCAGGAGAAGCATTATCATCATGATTATTATCATCACCATCAAACTATTATAGACGTCTCTTAGTGGCGGACCAGCTATTCAGCATTTTTAACTGACCATGACATCCGTGCTCAAAATTATCGGCTGATAATGCATAGTTTGCTTGGTAATCATTTCTGATATTCCTTTGTCTTATTCGCTTCAGATAACAAATGATGGTCAGCTCACAGACCAGTAATTAAGAGGTGAGTGAGTATTTCCCAGTATGTCAGAGTGCTGATGTTGTATGTCATTAATTAGTTGGAGCAGTATTGTTGGGCAAACATTTACAAAAACACATATACATTTTATTTTTTATGTTTTCCTTTTGAATATGCTTATAATGTTTTTATGTTTCCGTTGACATTTCTGCTTCTACGTACATCAAAGAGGAAACAGAGAATGGGCCGGAACGCTTTTGCTTTCCCAAGACTACACACAACAATACTCAGCCTCACTTCAGCTTTGGTTGTCAGTTTATCCCTCTGGGGCAGTGGTTCCCAATCCGGTCCTTGGGGAACCGCAGACAGTCCACATTTTTGCTACCTGGAGCTGGGAGGGAGATAAAATGTGGATCTGGGGTCTGTGGGTCCCTAAAGACTGGTTTGGGAAACACAGCTCTAGCGGAATGTTCTAGACTACCATCGTCCAGTGTGTCTGCAGCGTTCTGTATCCATTCTGGGAGCCGTCTAGGACCATGCTGACCTCAGCACACTAAGCTGAGGAGCATAGCGTAGAATTTACCAGAGTATTAGTTACCTGTCTACTTTGTTCTGTGTCAGTGTAAAAGTTCAGCTCTCAGATGTACCAACTCAGGAAAATGTTGGATCTGTTTTGCACTGATTGGAATTTGTTACGTCTTGAGCCCTTAAAGGCTAATGGCTAAATGATTCTCAAGACATGGATGGTGTCCTTGCTAGTTTAAGATTGTAGAGTATAAAGAATTTTTCAGGAATCCATGTTGCAGAGACTGTTGAAATAGGGGTATTTCTCACTCATAGTCTCCTTATATGTATGGTTTAAAAAAGCGTTAAAAGAGTGTTATAAACCAAATAAAATATCCAAATGTCATATACCCCATTGTGAACCTATATCTTTTTTGTTTCAGAAAATATGTGGGATAATTATGTATCTTATGAATATTACATGGACCTTCACACTGTGTGTAGGGTAAGTAGGGTAATTGTAGGGATTAATTATTAAAAAGAGAAAGTCCAGAGTGGATATCAAAGTAGCAGGCTTGATGGATTATTTTTTGCAATTTTCCGATGAATTATTATTGGGCTTTTTGTCTAATCAGCAAGTGCGGCATGCAGCATAATTGCGCGTGAGAGAAGCCTGTCGTCTCCCGAGACGAATTACTGCGATGATTAAAACCGGTGGAATCAACTAATAGCATAATGATATATACACTTACTGTCAGGCCAGTGGGGCGCGTTGGAGCTGCGGGGGCGTGTGATTATGTGCTGTCATGATCGCGAAGGCTGTGGTCAACCCTGGCCGCAAACTCAGTCCTCGGGAACGCTGAATGTTTCAGCCAGTAAATACTGCACAGCAATGTAAGACACGCTTGTCGTTTGGCAAGGAGATGAGGTCATACAGCTGTTTCCATTATTTACACGACACGAGCCTGCAATTAAATCCAATCCGTTAATATAGATGGAAACTTGCCCGCTCATGATTTAGTACCAAGAAAGTGACCTCCCCCCCCCCCGGAAAACTTTACTTTCCCTTCAGGCTTAATTTATTACCCATATTTACTCTGAACAATGAAGTTTAGTCTCAGGTTTTAAAAAGCAAGCTTAAGTCACAGACTCAATACAGCTCAGGCTTATATTATGGCCACAAGGCACAAGTGAAGTAGGTGACTGACTGTGCTTGGCACCCGACCCCCCCATACACACCCCCCAATCTTACATTAGTAACAAGTTATACTACACGGATAAAACTGTCTACCGGCAAATAAATTAATATTGGATTAAAAACCAAATGGAACTTTTACAACTGGTTTTCAAAGCCATAGGGAGTTAGGGAGCAGAAAGTGGAAATTATATTTTACGTAGCTATTTTTTAGGGTAATGAAAGTACCCTTGCATTTTAAATTTCTGTAAAAAAAATATGATGCACAAAACTAATTTGTAGCAGGGCCTAATTCAGTGTTGCACGTGTGGCCTTTCACATATGTGCTTGCACCCCCTGCGACTCCACAGACAAATACACTTTATTTTTGCGGTGGTCAGCTTTCATTGCGCTAGCAGATACTCTAAGCATACAGTGACTTCTGTGCCATTTTTAAGGTGCATCATGACCCCATTAGCAAATGCGAACTCGCAGATATTTCAGTTCAATGAAATGGACGGGCCTGCATCAATCTCGGGGGCCAGCCAAGCTGATTCCCAGTGCTGACCTCCCTCGTTACAGCCAGGGCTGCAGGGAATCAGTTTAACCCCTGGATTGCATGCGAGTCGAGTCCAACGTGAAGGTCATAAATCTGCCCCCTCAGCAGAGTTATACGCAAAAATAAATAGTAGTTTGGGCAATATGAAAAAGAATAAAAACATTAGATAGTAAAATCATACTTTATATTCATTATAGTCCTTGTATTCTTGCCTATAGATAAATTGCTCTAGATTTTAAGCATGCTGTAAGCATTAGGGATGGGAGAAATTAGGAAGTAAATTAAGAGAATTACAAATGAATTACAACAGTCCATTCAACATCATCCTACTTAGTATGCTTAAAAGATTACAATTAGATGCAATAGGATCGCAAATTGGCCTGCAATTTGTAACAAACATGGTAAAATGGCTCTGTGAAATAATAATAATAATAAAAATAATAAATGACAGTGCTTTTTTAAAAAACCAGAGCATCCCCAACACAGAACGATAAGACGGGTCACCATTTCATCACGGGACGATGGTGAGAAAGTCATTTGTTCACAGGATTATACCGTTAATGAGGGCCCCAAAAGGGGAAGATTGATTACACTGATGCAGCATTGATGGATTCAATTTATTGATGCCAGCGACTGCTGGCTAATTAGCTGACTGTCAGCACAGGGGAAGCTAAACAGAAAACACAGCTGGATGGAGCCCAGAACCGCTGCATTATTCAGAATTTACCGTGAGTCGCTTTTGTGGCGCCTTTAACTTGTATTCAGCTATCAAGAGTCGGCTAATCATTTTAACGTTAAACCTGTAGGTATCCTGAACGTTAAATTAAGAGTGAAATCAGCTAGACACAGCAATACCCGATCTCTCTTCAGGAATCCTTCTGGGACTGTGAAACTATAGATTACCAAGAAATAATGACTGCTCCTCTATCTTGGCAGTTTAATTACTGAGGTTAAGTTCAAGGATTCTTTGCTAAGTAATGTTTGGCGTTACAAATTTATGGCTTGAAGGTGCTACTTAAGGTTGCCCAAACGATTTTGGGACCATTGATGAGTGACTCGAGTCATATTACCTGTGTCCTGTTGTGTTAAGAATCTGAGGTGATCCAGTGTAAATCGCTCAAACGCAGCAGTAAACACATGAATACGGAATGTGACATTAGATGTCAACACATGCAGATGGTGACGGCCCATAAACCCTTGTGCAGACAGAGGCCATGTGACCTTATAAAAAAATAATTTCTTTAAGAGAGCTGTAATTTTTCCGCCCATATCGTTTGAGGGTGGTCTGAAATTGTGGTAGTGAGTTCGCAGGAGAGAGGAAGGGCTTCATCCAGAATAACAAGCTGTGTCTGTTTTCCCCTGGTGCTGTTCGCGGGTCGATTCCCATAATGCCCTTGAAAAGCTCAGCTGAAGCGGTGTGATAAGAGAAGGCTCTGAAAAATGTCACTGGGGCTCACATGCTGATTATACTGCCTTGAGTAAATGTACTAAAAACAAAAACGTATGCAGGCAGATTATGTCGTTTTCAATGTGGCTGGGAGCTGGAGAAGAATCACCTCCTGGGATTCTGTAATGACTGTGAGTTTTCCACTCGCACCTTCTGCCTCTGATAGTTCAAGGGGTGTTTTCTTCTGCTGTAATCTAAACCCTGTCACCCGCCTAGTAGGCAGAGATTATGTCAATTTCCTCATTATCATTGTCTGTACAAGGCAGTGGTGACACAGAATCCCATGTATTCGCATAACAATGTAAATCTGTGATGTCACAATTGCATATGTGATGCAAGAATAGGTTTTGTTAACATTGCATTCAAATGGGAATGCTGCCAGCAGCTGTTTCGTCTGCCGCAGTTGATTTCCTCCAACACAGCGCGAGGACGGGGAAATTTGCTAGCATTTTTTTCAGTTTTCACCCTCTAAATAATTAACACATGAAGTTTCTGAGATTTCTCACACTTAGTGGTCGGATCAGGGAGTCAAGAAACACGCTCACAAAAAACAGCGATACAAATGTTACAAAAACGTAAAAGCAGGATTTACAGTGAGTACAGTGGCAAAGGATGTGACTGGGCCGTGCTGATCTTTAAGCTTCAGTGTCTGACAGTCTGCAAACTTTCCATAATGATCTTCTTTCCACGCACATGATGTCATGAGAACCGTATTGCTGGGGATTAGCAACACAAAATATTGTAGAGAAAATTCACGCCTGACTAAAATACTGACTCAACGCTGAATGCAAATTCTATCAAATTATTTATTTAAATGCAGCTCACTGCCTGTTCTTATGCAGTAATATTTTGAGCTCAAACATAATTATATATTGAGTATTATCATACTTCCCACAGTATTCTAATTTTAAAGGGATGTTTATTTTAATTATGGGAAAAGGAAGAATTTCACAGTAAAAAATATTTTAATATTTTAAGACATTTATATATAATAAAATAAAAATACTCAACTGCATCATAATAGAAAATTAAATCATTTTATTTTGCAGATGTTAAGTTTTTTAGTTAATATGTTGCCAGTCTTTATTTTACCAGAGTAATATCATTTTTTAAAGCCTCTGACAAAGTACAGCTACCTATTCAATGCATGTAGATATAGATATTAAGCTTTACATCCCCAGATCACCCCAGGAAAAGTGTCTGAGATAATTTATTGGGCCCCCCAACACGTATCAACCCCCCCCCCCCCCCAGGCCAAACCTTCAGCTGCTAGGGTCTTTTCACGACACCTCATATATATGCTCCTACCCCACAGGAATCATCTTGTCAGCCAGGATTAAAAACGACAGAGATGAATTCTTTAATTAATTAGTCAACAAGCGGCAAACAACCACGGCGACTGCGTGGAATAGACCATCTTCTTGCTCTTCAGATATCGGTATTCTAACGCTCCATAGTGACAGCCTAAGAGGATGCAGACATATGCTTTCTCATTGACGTACAGTCTACCGCGCATCAAAACAGCCTTCATGACAACCATTCCGATGCTCTTCTGATTTAACGGCCAGCGGCTGTAAAACAAACAAACCTTACCTTTTGTTATAACACTGTGATTTCGGAAGCTTCTGAGAAAGTGCCGCCCCCCCCCCCCAACACAAACTGGCAGTGTATGAAGTTCCATAGGAGACTTGTGCACATTTACATGCTAAAGTATCTGAGCAGGACCAAGGGAGGGAGTTGAGAAAATGTGCAGCTTCTCACTCATTTATATCATGTGGTACCAGCCTCCTAAATCCTCATAGGAGGGAACATTCGGGAATCGAACCTAAGTGTCTGGCCCGGAAAAACAGGAATGTTTGATCCTATTTTCGGAAAAATACTGCAAGAGCCTAACCATGAAAAAAAACATATGTATGTCATTTGCCCTAAAATAATCTTGTGTATAACCTCAGTGTCCTGCAAGCTGTATTGGGATCTTGCAGTATATTTATATACTGTACATATATATTGTGTATATATACCTTTGGGGATTAAACCAAATGAAGGGGAGATGAAAACCAAAGTCTTGCTATTTGTGTGAAATTTCCACTCAAACTGTCATGGCTGACACCTAGAAATGCCACCCTTGCCGTCAAATGAAAGGAGATAAAATGCCATCTTAAGCAGTTTGGTCATTATTTTCAAATGAACTCATCGCTCGTCTCCACCCCCCGAAATGGTCAGCCCCCCC